CGGAAACGAGGGAATCCCCCCCCCCCCCCCCCCCCCCCTAGTTGAAAAGACCCCCAAAAGCAACTATTTGACGAATCGGGAAACAAAACCTCGCGTCGTGATATAGCCAAACAACAATCCTACAACGTCCTTCAGCTGCCGATAGAGTTACTCCAATCGCGCCGCCGCGGGTCCAGACAGCCGTTTAGTATTCTTCTCGACACGAATCACTCGAGGGACGGGTTCACCCACCCCCGGGGGATACAGATATCCTTGAAAAAACTATCATGGTATTATTCGAGGAAGGATAACACAAACCACAAACATGTGTACAGTTGCCGGTGATCACATGGTTTTACCGCAAGCCGGGACAACTATCCACGGAAACGGTGCCGACGGTAACAGGACCTTGATGCCAAAAACCCGTCAACGAAAAAAACGGGACACGAAAAAACAATCCTTCAGACATCCACTGATGATTTAATCGCTCACTGAAAAGAAACACTACCAGGAAAAGGCCTGAAGAACGCCTGACCACTACATTCCAGGACAAACGCCTCCATACACCCCCCGAAAGAACTATTTTACAAAAAAAAACGCCTCCTCACCTCTCCCAGTCGCCAGGGTCGATGTCTCCAGGCCCCGCTAAGAGCAGGCCGAGCTCGTTCTCCGTGAACATCTTGAGCAGGCCCAGGGGCACCAGCCTCCGCATGCCGTGGGCGAGGGCCTTGGCCTGCTTCCGCCAGCGGCCGGTGGTCTTGCTCTCCAGTGCGAGCTTGGCGTAGAGCGCCTGGTCTCGACACAACCAACAGAGGGGACATCAGATCACCATTGTTAATCATTCGACGGACGAAACGTTCGGCATTTTTCAGAAAAAATCTGCAGTGTGCACAGGCAAGAAGAGATGGTTGCTTGTCAGGGGAAGAGTGCACGAAACCGTAGTTGTTTATTCGCAAACATATGCCATAGCAACAGCACTACAAATGGGGTGGGAACAGAGGCACGGCGCTATGGTTATATGAGACGCCGCAGTGCCTGCAAACGCTATTCCGACGACGTTGCCCACGCGTGTAGACGGCCGCTGTGTTTTCGTAACCGAACCGCCTGCCATTCCGGACGCGCTGCCTTCCCTCTCGGGGCCGGGTACGCAGGCAAGGGGCAGGGGCCAGGGGTTCACGGGGGAGCCATGGCTGTAGACGTACGGATATGAGGGTGAAGACAGAATATAATAGCGTTGATTTGATCGAATTTTGCAAAGAGCCGGGTGTGAGAAACCAACAACAGCAGCACCACCAACAGACCCGCGAGCACCAGCACCCGCAGAAACAAGCAGCAGCAACAACAACACCACCACCACCACCAACAACAACAACAACAACAACAACAACAACAACAATACCACCACCACCAACAACAACAACAACAACAACAACAACAACAACAACAACAACAACGACAACAACGACAACGACGGCGACGACGACGACCACGGCAGCAAGCACCTTGTTTTCGTCGGTGACGGCATCGTCGGGATCTATCCCCGCCGTGTCGGCGCAGGAGTTGAGCGCGAGGTCTCCGAACTGCAGGCAAAACTGACCGACGCCCTCCGTCTCCAGTATCTGCATGAGGCTCCTGCGCCGCCGCAGACGCAGCGTGAACCAAAAGCACGAGCAGCAAACGAATTTGATGTCGGTTTTTGATGGGGGAGTCGCGGCGCGAACGGCGACCGAATCGGAGCGAATCGTGGAGTATCGCATCCATCACCGCGGGCATCGGGGATACCTGATCGTGGCTTGGGCTGGATTGGCGATGACCAGTGTAGTCCGCATCGGGAGGGGACTGCTGTTGCGTGGTAGTCAGCACTAACATCGGTCGGGCTAGCCACGCCCGTTTGCCCGTTTCCGTACCAAGCCAGTTCAAGCAACTCGAGGTAACACCAACGTGGATCCAGCGACGGTTTCACAACATCGTTTTCCGGTCGAAAAAAGAGGGTGCGGTGCCCACAAACTGTCGGGGTGGTGTTTGCCTGCCTGGCTTCATTCTGAACGCCGGACCCTTGCCGTGGTCGCAGGCCAACTACCCCAAAAGGGTACACACACTCCAATAACCCAGCCCAACAAAAAAGAGGTTGTGTTCATGTATTCGTTCGTTTGTTTGTTTAGGGCAAGACATACGAGTGCTTGATCAAAAGCAGAGCTGTCTTCATTATATCTATCATTGCTTTGAGTTTTGGGAGAATATGCAATGTATCTAAAGTTATCGTATGTTTTGATTTGGGAAGACATGGATATCAATCCGACAAGCACAAGGTCAGCGACCAACACACACTAATATCACTCACTTGAAATACATAGGGTCCACCAGCTCGAGGTCGGACTGGCGCACCTTCCGCGACAACATGACCTTCCACACCACCGGGTTCAGGTTCAGGTTCAGAACCTTTTTTGGTACATGTCGACGAAGAGAGATCGACCAAGAAAAAAACGCGGCGAAAACATACAACGTATCGACGAATCAGCAGCACAGACACGGAAGAAGAGCAAAGGCATCAACCTAATATTGCAGACACACACTAACGTTACGCTTCGTCCGCACACGTCGAGAGGTAAGAAAGGAGCGGCAACACGGGCACTGATTGATGAGTCCCCAGTCGGTTCAGTTTCCATTTGCCGCGTTTGTTGCGCAATGAAAGAGAAAACGCGCGTAGAAACAAAACAGGTCAGCAAAAAACCCCGCTAAATTCCAGTCGGAGGTCCACTTTCTTATTTCGCCGCCTCCTTCGAGCATACGTTTTTGTATAGAAGTAGACGTTGGTGGAGGGCCCGCCGCTGTGCTGTGTTCCTTACTCGTAAGTGTTCTTTCTTTCGTGGAAAACACATCGATTCGCTGGTTTTTAAATTCCCCACATCAAACGCGTGGTATCTTGTGCAACCCTACGGTATGTCTATCTTCATCTCTATGATGCACCTTGTTCCAGGCCAGGTTCGCCCCGATCAAGATGCCCAGAAGTTCGAACCCTTTCAGGTCCTTGTCTCTCTCCTGCCGACCCTGCAACGCCGCCTCTCCACCCCCCCCCTCCCCGCACCGCAAATCCCGCGGACAGTAGGACGACATGCCCTCGTCCACGGGTACGAAGAACGCCTCGTTCTTTGTGGCTCCATCGACCCCGTTCGTGGCGGCGCCCCCGGCCCCCGATACCGCCTCCGTTGCTGCTGTAAACTGCTGCTGCTGCTGCTGCTGCTGCTGCTGCGGCGGCGGCGGCGGCGGCGGGAAAGGGAGGACGAGGTCTCCGGCGATCATCTCCCACGCCTCGCGCTCCACTCCCTGGCCGTACCCGGCCTCTTTGTCGAAGGTGAACGCCGGCTGGCGGACCCTGGAAAGAACGATGAAATGAACGAGACATGGACGATAAAACGAAAATGAGACATGGAGGGGAGACGGCAGCAGCGAGGTCACAGATAACGAAGGCATGGTAATGCCGTCGGTGTGGTAGCAACAGAACACACACAATCGGTTTGTCAACAAGAGATGCTCCATCCAGCCTTCGGGCGTGGCAGTTTTCTACCCTATAGTCGTCGCAAAACACCTCAAACGACCTCCCTCTCCCTCTCCATCTCTCGTCTGTGTCTCCCACACCCTTACGCATAGTCTCCCTCACTGACTCCCCTCTCCATCTCCTTCTCCTCCTCTGCCCTCCTTTCTCTTTCAAACTGCAGCGATAACTGGCCAGGCCTGAGAAGACGGGACTCTGTCGCGAAACCGTCTGACACTTTTCTCGGCCTGAGACCTACACCACCCGAAATCGACGACGTCGTACAGACGTAATTCAAGATAAGATTTGGCCACCCCAGACGATGGTTTGAGCCGTAGCAAGAGCTGGACAGGCTAGATTTTACCCCTTGCTGGAGTTGATCCCGCACACTTTTCGCGGCTGAACTGGAGTCACACAGGCATGTCTCACTCTATAAACGTCTTTCACCTCGGTGGGAAAAACTGACTTGAACGGAAACAAATCCAGCTTGTCATCGAAGATTATTTTGCTACCATTGCATCGACATCCTTCCTGCACGCGCCCCGAGACCCGTCGCTCTTGGGGGGGTCGTCGAGCACAGGCAGCTGTACGGTTTTGCGACATGAACTCACGAACAGCGCTGTGGTACCCAGTGGGTTACCGCATAATAGGCACGGGGACCCCGTTTAGAGGCCACATCAGGTGCAGCAAGAAACCGGAGACAATAACAGCAACAAGAACGACAACCAAAGGCGGTCACCTGAGCCAGGCGGCAAGCCCTTCCTCTCGCCACCGACGGGCCGCGCTCTCCATCCAGGCTAGGAGAGCGCCCAAAGCCTGCCCAGCGCCGCGGCGGATGCAGATCTGGCCATCGAACTCGTAGCCGAAGCCGCCCATGGGAGGCTTTTTTCGACATGGGGGGAGGGACGGGAGGTGCAGTTGGGAGGTGAAAACCTACAAGCTCGGCCGCGTTGGTGCTTCATTCTCCGTCCCCCAAAAAAATCCCCAAACCGCAACAGTCACAACATGAAAGACAAAGAAACGGTCCGCGAAAAGAAACAATGATTTCTGACTTCATCTGATTACACAGCTATATATTTCGTTGCACTTTACACCGAAAACTCGGTCGTCACTACTTTTTCGGTGTATTCAACGGATACAGTCGTAATTCCGGAAACTTGTGCACGAAATAAAACGCAGTTTCCGGCAAAATTTTCTGTCCCTCCGGTTGTAGCTACCCGTATTTCTAACGAAATGCCTGCCCTTCCAATAACAGCAGGCATCTCCCACAAAAAAAAATACATCGTATAGTTCTCCCGGGAAAATGTAGCAAGTATCAGGGAATCCGGTTTACAGGTACTGTCGATTTTCGTAAGGGGACAGCCAAGCCAGGGAGGGTCCCACACTAGGGCCGAAAATGTTCGACTTAAAGACCGATTCATGAGGTGCATGGGGACAGTTCAGCCACGGGGAAGGGCAGGCGAGGTCACACTCACGAAAGCGAGGAGGTGATAATCGTTGCGAGTGTCCTCATCGTGGTTGTCGATGAGCATCCGCATGAGGACCCTCTTATTCTCGAAGTCCAGCAGTCCCGGCACGTCCTTTAGGAAGCTGAGGGAGCCGAGCAGGAGGTCTGGCTTCTTCCGGATGAACCTTACAGCCAACGCCACCGAAAAGCCAGGAGGAGGAGGGCCGAAAAGCAGCAAGCAAGCACGGGCAGGCGTGTGCGTGGTTTTTCTTGGCGCTCGTAAAAAACAGAGAGACCGACAACATTTTTCCTATATTGCAGGGCGATGGTAGTAGGAGCCGCTCTAGAGGTGATTGCGATCAATGCCAAGAGCAGCATCAGCAGCAGTGGCAAGAAGAAGTGTAGAAGAAGACAAACAGCAGCATCATTATCATCACCAGCAATTTGCTCCGTCCACCACACCGTTTACCAAGATTATTGAAATTCGAAGGAAAACGACCCCCGTAGACGTCCATCACCCCGAACCAAAGAACTCACCAACGACGACACCGATCCGCCGACCCAACGGCAGACAGACATGGACAACACGCGATAAGTAACGAAGGCCCGGGGCATTGCTGAAGCTCGTGCGCGGGAGGATCCTCCTCAGTAGAGGAAGCAACACAATCGCACGGTAGAGATAAACGCTGCTGGACGACCACCGGCGATAAACGGCGACCACGACGCAAATACGCCCGGTAGGGTGTTCTCTACACCGGGCGGCCCAGTGGTGCCATGGGAAGGCCGGCCATTGTTCTGGGCACCCGGCACTACTACTGTTCACGAGGCGACTTGAATATTCCGTCCTTGTCACGCGATTTCACCGCACTTTTACAGGACGACCAGCCATACTCGCTACCGACCTTACAACCGGACCAACACCACCGTAAACAAGGACCGCCATTCACTCAAATCAATCAATCAATACAAGCAAACGGACGAAAAAAATACACCGAGCACACGCCCACCGTCATCCCTCTCTTGTGTCCCACCTGTTGACGAGGGAGAAGAAAGAGGGAACGGTCACCAGGTTCTGCACGACCTCCACGATTCTAGAATGGTGGTGTTGGTCGATACCGCCGCCGCCGCCGCCGCCGGGGGAAGAGAGGACCCTGCCCAGTGCCTCCAGCTGCTTCTCGGGCTCGTGCTGAAGCAGCTCCAGCACGGCGCCCTCCTGGAGCGGGTGAGGACGAAACGTGCTAGGGTTAGGGCTGTAAGGGTGAGAGTTGAGTTCTGGCTCGCCCTCCACGGCCGCATGCGCGTGTGTGTGCTCTGCAGGGCAGGGGGAGTTTTAAAGCTTCCTATTTTGCTGCCCTGTTTGTTGTGTGGAGCGCGGCACCAAGGCAAACTTGTTTCGGGGTTGGGCTGGGGAAAGTGCCGGACAAGACCTTTCGGGAATGTGGTGCCTGCCTGTAGTGCACACGGAGGGTGAGTTTTGCCTTGGTACCGGCAAAGCGGGTTTGTCGCTACTAGGCTTCAAACGTGAGTTGTGGTAGAACACTCAAGCTCAAACGACGTACAGCACCCTTCCCTCCCTCCTTGCCCCCCAACACCAAGATGCACCAAGGAGCTCTTGCCCAGCCGTCCTCCGTTTCGTTCGAACGAAATTTTGGTTACATTTTCCTGCTTCCCTAGTATCTACCAAGGGTGACGGTTTGTCCCCGTTTCACTTTTTTTCTCTTTAGTAGGGAGGTGTCTCGCCGTTGTTCCGTCTCCCCCCCTCCCCTCACTTTTGTGATGAGCGCTAGGGTCTTGGGGGCAGTGGGGCGGCGCGTGTGCCTTTCGAAAACACCTTACTCCTGTTCTACTATCACCTCTGTTTCGTGCGTCGTTGTGCATATGTGTCCTCGTCTTTTTCGTTGGTTTCTTGGCAGGCGGTAGATACGAAAATAGTCCGATGCATGGTCCACTACCTCTGCCCCCCGCCCCCCGAAGTCAGCGCTGCATGACGTGGGGCGCGCAAGAGAATTATTCGCCGCCAACACTATTATCCCCGTCGCGCTTTTCCGTTCGTGTCGCAGCGGAGGCACACACGCGCGCGCGAATTTGCCACGCCTGCACTGTTGCTTATGGCCCACCTTTCTTCCCCCGAAGTCGGCGTACATGACCGGCGTCCACCCTTGCCGATCCTCCAGTACCGAGTTCGCCCCTTCGGTTAGCAGCAGAGTTACCTTGGTTTGGAGGGGGGGGGGGGGGGGGGTCCGTGAAGAGAAGCGCGTCTCTCTGCAATCGCAGCGGTGGGCAATTGGACGAACCGGCACCAAAAACGTACGACATTTTTGTTGTAGTTGTTCGAGAGCCGTGGATGGCGTGGAGGGATCGTGCTGACGCCGTCGGCTGCAACGGCCACGAAATAGCGAACAACGCAAACTGAGTGGGATGGAGACCGGCATCCAGGAGCGATCCTGTCGTTGTACGCCGCGGTACGGCAATGTTCAAAGTGGGCCAAGAGGCAACTGGGTGGGGTGTAACCGGCTTCCACACACTAACACCCCCACAAAGGAAGAGTTGTACAACTCTACCCCTAAAAGGGAAGACGCGATTTCTTATTTCTGCGTGCTGAATGCATGTCTCTAACAGCATGACAGAAAATACCCCCGAACAAACATACTTGTGAGTACAGTACGCCCGTGTGATGCCCTCTGCCCACTGTTTCTCTCTCTCTCGCTGTCTGTCTCTCTACCCCCCCTCTCTCTTTCTTGCTCCCCTCACCCCCCTCACCATTTCCTTGTGAGAGATGGCCGCGGCGAGGTGCAAGGGAGAAGCGTGGTTGTTGGCGTCTCCGGCGTTGATATTCGCCTCCTCCCCCCACCCCGCCGAGTAATCGCACGCGATCGACCTCTCCGCGGCAAGAACCGCCTTCGCAGCGGAAACGGAGCCTGATTTTCGCCGTTTCATACGGTTGAGCAGAAGAAACAAACACACCGATCGCACGTGCACACGTCACGCACACTTCATTCTCAGCTGTGCATGCAGATCTCCGTAGATCGGCAGCAGTAGTTTCCCCCCCTTACGTCGGAGCGGGGGCGGGGGCTCGAGCTTGTAGCCGCAACCCTCGGAACGAAAGATGTCGATGCCACTGGTGGTGACAAAAAAATGGAACGATCAGCGTTCCGAGAACGACAGAAGAGCATGCCATTGGTTCGGCGTAACTCAAGTCTGTGAGAGGTGAGAGTTATGGCGGCCTTTTCAAGACGGAAAGGAAAACAAAACAAAACAGTTGGAGCAGCGTACAAAACCAGAAGGATAGAGCCGACGGAGGACCAGTACCAATCGTGCAAGCCCCTTAGGACACCAGGGACGGCAGCAGGGTGTTCTAGCGCGTATGGGTAACGCCTCGGAATCATCAGTGGGCTTGCTGCTGCCCCTGGGACCGAAAACAAGTCAGGGTTCCTGCCCCTCGCAGGCGACATGCGTATTTTGCATGTTTAACGTAGATCTTGCGGCACTTCTCGCACAACATAACGCGCTGGAAACTGCTACTAGAAGTACTTCTACATGGTTTTGAGTTGACTCTTCGTATCAGTTGCACGCACGCGCCATGTCAGTGTCTACCAAGCACTACGGTTTCCCAATCGCAAGAAACCAACAGCAGTCATGAAAAAAGAAATAACACAACTCAGAGAGAGAAAGATATATATATATATATATGCATAGAGGGGGGAACGGAAGCAAAGGGGAAGACAACATGCTGCCCCCGTAACAGGATTCTACCTGGGATTAGCGTCGATTCAGCCACCCATGAAGAGACAACTCCCAACTCGTGTAATGCATGAGAGCAGTCCCGAGGGGACAAGACACGGCACGGGAGAGAGTAGGGTGGTTTGCTTACAACCCCGCCCCCCCCCCCTAGAAAAGCTACGTGCGTGTTCAGTTAACCGGGAAGTTAATGAGGCTGGGACTCCCTACTCGAGCTGCCGTCGGATTGTGTTTTTTTCTAAAGAAAGGCGAAAAGGCGTATCGATCACCTTCTGCATCTCGGCCGGCAGCGTAATGCAACGCGTTCATGCCCAACTGGTCCACGGCCCTCAGCTCCGACAGCTTCGATCGCGGATGCGGGATGATGCGCCGCCTTAGGTTTCCAATGATCTGTGCGCATACAACGGGCGGGGAAGCAAGGGGGAAGGGGGGCCCGTCCGTAACATGGAAGGTTTGTCTGTGTACGCTTGGGCGTGCGCTGCGGCAGGTTTCTGGCCAAGAGGTAAATAGTCCGGCGGCCGTCTGATGCGTTTTCTCAGCACAACGTAGCAGCAGCAGTTCAACGCCCCTCCACAATGCCTCCCAAGAAAAAGAGGCCGAGAGGTTCCTAAAAAGGATTTTGCGTTAAGAGCAGCGCCGGAAACGGTGGGTCCGACATCAAAGCCTACAACAGCGAGGGCCGATCTCAGCAACGCCGCCACAAATCCCACCGTAACAACAGGCACCTGGCGCTACCCAACCGCTGCCCACCGTTGGCGATGCAACGATACACATGACCCCCCAAAAATTGCGAGCTCCGCCACCCGCGGCAGCTGTCCGCGCGGACACCTGTAGAACTGTTTACGTAGGTATGGCAGGCAAACAATCTTCACTCACTAGCCCCACGCAAGAGGGAGACGGGCAGCCGGCGGCCGCCATCAGCGCGGTCGCGCCTTCCGCCGTTCTCGCCAGCACCACCGGGATGTGGGGGGGGGGGGTCTCGGCCGGCACGCCGTTAACAACGTGACTGGTCATCTCGTCGGCTAGCTCCCTCTCGACTCTACTGTCCTGTTGCGAGCAAGAAGAAGCGGCGGGGGCGAGGGGCCGGGGGTGGGGGTGGGAGGGCAGATAAGACCAAGAATATGCATAGAACGCACCCCTTTCGCGTCTCTTTCAAGCCGAGCATGCTCATGGACAAACGCGCTCCGCGGTCTATTTTGCGCGAGCGGAGGGGAAGACACGGGTTCGTGGAGGCAAAATACATCGAAAATCAAGCTGTGGACCTCGATGCAACCGTCAGCCGACTGTCGCAAAATGGCAGCACGACTGAAAGAAGAATGGCAGTGCGTGCTCCCTGGACCGCATTCCTGCGGGCGGACGGGCGGACGGCGACAAGGACGGACACCTGGTGGGCGAAGAGAGAGAGAGCCCGGCCATTTCTTCTAGAAAAGTACCTTCACTAGCTTACAACGAAGGTGGGGGAGGCGGTGAAAAACAGAAATACCGGCCAGGCTTGCCTGGCACGACGAAGGAGCTGATGACAAAAAAGTTTTGGCGCGGTACCTGCAAGCCAGAGGCCGGAAGAAGGGCCTTCGGTGCTGCTCATGCTTTCGGAAACCCCCCTGTATTCGCCCAAAACAAGATGTGCTTGCCCCCTAGAGCGTCGCTGGTCCGCAACCCCACGCCACCTCTCATCCTCCACGGTCCAAAGATGTAGAGTGGCTCTCATGCAAACCGTGCCAAACAATCTTCGAAGCACCCTCCCCTTCCCACAAAAGAGACCAAACTCCGGAATTTTCACCACCTCCAAAGGGTGGGCGGGGGGGGGGGGATTCACCCGTACGCGGTCCAATTTCAACAATACCTCGTCCAGAATGACCCGTACGCAGGCAGAGCGCCCTTCGAGGCAAGCCAGGTGCAAGGCGGTCTCGTCCGAAGTCCCCGCGTCGCTCGCCTCCAGTACGGCTGCCCTGGGCCCGGGGGCAAGGGCTCGGAGTATAGAGACGCAGGTCTCGGGGTGGCCGGCGGCCGCGGCGACGTGAAGGGGCGTGAGCCGCTCGTGGGACTGCAGAGAAGGCCGAGGGGGGGGGGGGGGTCGTGGGTGGGAGCCTGGTGGTCTGTCGCGCTTGATGATTGGTGGAACTACGTACGTAAGGAATGAAGAGTAAGGCATGGAAAACACCCCGTGCTTGTCGGAGAGGTACCAAGGGAGACGTGGCGAACGACAAGTAGAGCGTACCGGTGACCACTAACCCCGCACAGCGGCACGACGTAGATAGTGTCCGGTCAGCGACGTTTGATGATCATGATTCCGCTGGGGCGCGTCCGGGGACCGGCCCACAACTTCTCCAAACACAGCGACCTAGAGTTGATCTCGTTGTACAAACACACTCCGTGCTGTCTAGATCATCCCATGCCACACGGACCCCCCACCCCCCCGAAGCAAGGGATATGTAGGGCCTTAATGTGAAGGTTCCTGAAGGCGAACCCAGTGGCGGGTTGCCTGCCACAAGATGCGTACCCCACGTGAAAACATAGCCAGCGGAGACAAAACCCGCGGGCATCGGTCTATTCAAGGGAGAACAGGGTATTCTGCTTTGCGTCAGATCGTTAAAGGGCACTTGGCCTTTGCCCCTCTGGGAAAAGTAGACCAAATGAACCCCTTTCCAACTGTGTGCCAACATGGGAACCGTTTTGGTTGGTGTTTCTTTCAAGCATTTCTTACTTTTTACCAACAGGAGAATCACTCATTTCCCATGGATGAGACAATAGGAGGACTCGATCCAGAAAGTTGCTATGCCGTGAATCCGGCTGCCCGCGGGAACGCTACACGCAAGATCCAAACTCCCACTCTGTTGCTGTGCCCGTGAGTGTAGCAGGTACAGGGTTCTCTGCCCGTCAAGTACAATACAAAAACTCACCACCATGAGGGCCGCTCCTCTGCCTAGCTCCCCTTCCAGAAGAAGGGACACCTCGCCGGCCCCGCCGACCGCAGCAGCGTGGTGCAACGCGGTTCTGCCTTCGGCATCGACGCCGAGCACCGCTCGTTCGCGGCTGCGCTCCAGAACCAAGCGGAGCACCGCCAGTCTCGCGTCGCTGGCAAGCTGGGGGAAGTCCGCCCCGCTGGCAGCAGCAGTGCAAGTAGCTACCGCCGTCGCCGCCGCCGCTGCTGTTTTGGTGCTCCTAGCGGTAGGAGTTTGGGCCGGTTCAGCGCGGGCGTCTGTTGTAGCGACTAGACCTGGACGTGCGGTAGTCGTTTCGTCCACCGGGCGTGTTGCCGTCTTGCAAATCGGAGCATTGCTTGCTGTTGCCACTAATTCCTGTTCTCCAGACCGGACAGTCCCGGCGACCCCATCGACAGGCAACGGAAGCGTTGGGGTACCAGGCAACGGGTCTATACTACCCCCAAGATCTGCCGCCCCAGCTGCCTTTTCCGGCCTGTCTTCCGCACACGGCAAGGTATTGCTAACCTTAGCGCTGCAACTGGTGTCGGGGAGAACTGTGGCAGCAGCGGCACTAGCAGCACCAGCAGACATGTCGAGCGTAGCCGCTGTCTCGTCAGCGATGACCTTCCAGTAGCCCGCGGCGACCATGAGGAGGCTCAAACCCGCCGGGAGAGGGTAGCTCGCCGACGGGGCTTCGATCTCGATGGCCTTGTCGTCGTCCTTGGCAGCCCCTTTTCCTGCCCCGCCGTCGCGGGCACGACCACCGGCTAGCAAAGACACAACATTCGGACATGCCTCGGGCGGGCCCGCGGATACCAACCGTCTCACAGGAACATCCGACCCTTCCGCTTCGCGGAACGCCTTCTCAACCAGGGGGGCGTTCCCGGAAACAACCGCCATCCAGAGCCCCCGAACCATGGCCCCGAATCGCTTTTCCGCCTCCGTTTTCTTCGTTCCGGTCACCGTCGCCACGCCTGAAGCAGTTGCTGTCGCCGTTGCTGCTCGTCCCGACGCCGCCGCCTGCCGGGCGGCGAGCTCGCGTTTCAGCTTCTTCCGCATCTTGTCCTCCCACCTGGCGTGTTTCTTGCCCTTTGGGTCGCAGTCCAGGCAGAAGTGCCTCCTGGTTGTTGCGTTTCGCGACGGAGCCGAGCACCCGTGGTCGCAACACGCGGCGTGTTCCCACAACCCACACGCATCGGAATGGCACTGCACCCAGTCCCCGTCGCCTGCACCACCACGGGGGTCGTCCCCGCGAGTAGCCCCGCACCGACAACGGTACTCTTGCGAGATTTCCACCTGGCCCTCGGGCGCCCAGAACCCGTCGCTTTCCGATTCGCCGTCTTCTTCCGTGTGGTCGATACTGTCCCCGTCGACACCGCCGATCCTTACCACGCCGACACGTGGCGAGCTCGGGTCGTCGTTGGAACTAGAACAAGATTCTTCGTCCCCGACGACGTTCTTCCGCAGCCGCACCCTCATTCCTTCCAGCCTGGACACCCGCTGAGAACGCCTCACGCTCGGACTCCCGGCGCCGGGCGATCGCTGGCTACCCGAGGGAGTATTTTGGCCAACAGGGGGCGACAGCGAGGTCGACGAGTGCGCGGGCGACGGCGCCGAAGGTCCATCATCGCCCCAGCGTGTCAGGGAGCGTCGTCCCCCTCTAGTCGCACCCGCCGCTGCGGTGGATGACCCCTTCGCTTGGCAACCGCCGCAAACGTGGGCCTTTTCCTCACGCCCTTCCTCTCCGCCTCTATCCTCAAGTGCTTCTCCTGGGTACGCGCAAGCCAGGTGTTCCCACGTCCTGCATCCCGGGACGTCGCAGCGGATCCACCGAGTACCGTCCCGCCAATCCCGCGCGCCGCACCGGCACAGCACGGGCTCGTCGCTGCTATTGCTGCTAACGCCGTCGCCGCCACCGCCGCCACCGCCGCCACCGCTTCCCCCCGCCGTGCCATCATCGTCACTGTCCGTGTTTCTCAGGCAGCCGTCGTCGTCGTCGTCCGAGAGTGCGAACGGGGTAAGAGTCGAGGTCGCGCCACCACCACCGCCGGCTTGGCTATCGCCGCTCACTGAACCAGCGTGTTTTATCGGCGGCTTCACTGTGGCCACGCTTAGCAGGCTCTGGTCATCATCGTCATCATCACTGGCGGACTCCAAGAGCTGGGGGAACCCTGCAGCAGTTGACGTGCGTATCGGACGCTTTCGCGCGCCGCTCCGAGTCGCTGTGCCGTGAGCAGTGTCACCGGTGGTTCGTGATATTGCTCGCGTCCGCCGCCGGGCGGCGTTGCCTCCCCTCAGCGTCGCCAATCCCCTTGATCCCGCGGCGGGCATGTCTTCCTCGAGCATGAACTCCTGGTCTTCCTCCTCGCTGTCCTCAGCATCATCGCAGCCAGCGTACGGGCTGTCCGAATCAGCACGCTTCGGTCCTTTCCCGACTGCTGATTTTCTTCGGGGCGGGGGAGCTTTGACGCTACTGCTGTTGGGTGGGCGTTGCCTGTGCGTGCTGGCCTCCGTTCTCGCGCCTGATCTCGTGCTGTCGAGTCGCCCTCCCGATTTGGCGGTTGCCCTCCTCCTACTTGCGGCGACACGAGGGTTTTTCCTGGTGTCTTTCCGTCCATCTGCCAATTGCCCCCGCCGACCTCCGCCGCCGCCTTCGTCGCTGCTACCACCGCTATCGTCGCTGCCGCTTCCGTGCCAGCTAGAAGAAGAGCGTTCCTCCTCCTGAAGGTAATCTTTTCGAATGCCTCGCCTGTTTCTAGCAGGGGCACATGGTGCTGCGGACGCTGCCTTCGGGCGGCTCGCGGCCTTGCCTTTCCCTGGGAGGCAAATAAAGGAACGTGTTGCAGCAAAGGAGGGTGATAAGAGTTGAATGAAGCACCACCATATTCATTCGCGGATGGTCTACATTTACGGCGTGCTCCTTTTGTCTATTTCTTTCGGCTCCTCCCTGTACACGATAGATCGCACGGAAAAGGCGCAGGGTAGCAGTGTAAGCTAATCGGCGGCAAATATGTGTACTCTGTAGGTTGGATCCTAAGCCAGGCGGTCATGTTGAATCCCGTCACGACGAGCCCCCGATCAGAGAAAGAGAGAGCACACACTGCTACATTTCTCACCCCCGTGCGACGCACACCCCAAGGTTTACCTTTCCCTCCTCGACTATCAACACCCGAGGTCGAATCACCACAGCGCTCAAGGCGCGATCTCTTCTTGGCTCGTGTATCGTTGTCGCCTTTGGGTCTTATTTTTTTCCTCGACCCAGACGAAGAAGCACCTGCAGAACGCTCCAGGAATCGGCTTCGGGATGACTTCGTCGGCGGTGACGAGACCTCGGCGTCGTCGCTATCGACTAGGTCTGATGCATCCGATGATGACATGGGCTGTAATTTCTATGCCACGCCAGGGCAAGTGCTGATCACCTTCTACCCTTGCCTTCTCTGTGGGTGCATTTCAGCAACAGCAGTAAACACACAAACACACAAACACCAGTAGCAAAACGCGGCGTGATTGAAGTGCAGTCAATTACGCCGCGTTTTGTCACTCACTCCACTGCCGTTCAGCCGTGCGTGCGCAGCAGTCCTGCTCTGTGCCACCCTCCCAGTGTTTGTGTCTCAGCTGCTGCCACATCCCCGGTACGATGGTGCTGCGCAGCCTGTTCCTGGTTGCTTTGCCAATATCATTGAACCTCGGGAGTGCGTTCCTCCTTCCTTCCGTGCAGCAAGTAGTGCTGCCTGACACTTCAACTGCGATCATACGGCATCAACATGACACAGGCAGCAGATCCATGCTGTCGGCGGCAGCGCCCACGGCTGCTGGGGGAAGCAGCAGTACAGCAACGGCCAAGAAAAGTTTCCTCCGAAATCTGGAGCGCAAGCGAGCGGGGGAGGAAGTGGCCTCCTCGGCATTGAATGCTGATCTCCACGTGCTTGGGTCAACACCGACTCAGTCATCAACCACCACCGTGGACAACACAAGGAGTTGGAAGGGAACGTGGGAAATCTGCTACGCTCCTCACATTCAGACCCTCGCGAAGGTGAGTGATGCAATTGCCACGATTTCTATATGGAACGAAGGCGTGCTTGAGGAGCCGATCACATTCCAAATGCTGAGAATAATTACGACTTTGGTGTAGCATTGTTGGTAACACCGTCGGGACGGAATTGGGGAGTGTACAAGTACGATGTGGTGGTGCTAGCTGATCGCCCCCCCCCCCCCCCCCGGGCCTCCCACGTGGAAGGGGGTGGGGGAACGACCCACGGAAGTTTGGGAATTTACAAAACCCAAACCCGACGCCCATCACCCTGTACTTTTACCCCCCTTCCCCTTAACCCCCCCGTCCCCCTCAAAACTCCCGACAGGGGATTTTTAACCAGTTTTCCAACGTCTTGGACCAATTCCTGGCCCAACAAGGAGGATGGGGTCCCACTCCCCGGTAAAAAACAAGGGGTTTGGGTCGGGTTGGTTTCACCCCCAATGGCTGGTCTTTTTGCTTCCGGCCTCCCAAGGGGGCTCCCAAGAAACCCCCCCACAGAACCGTACAGGGTACCACCCCCCCCTGACGCCCCACGGGGAAATACTCCAACATGTTGCCCGCTGGAGATAGGACTTTGACCCCGGTTTGTTGTTTTTCACCGGAAATGGCCCCCTGGAGACTAACAAA